CAGGCCTCCCATGGGAGTCAACAAAGTATGGTACATCAAGTTAAGGCAAGACCAAACTCCTCTCCCTGCATCAAGGCTGGACAAGGCAACCTAGCATGGGGAATAGGTTCCAAAAAGCCCAGCTCAAGTGCCAGGGAAATGTCCTGATCTCACTGCTATGAGCCCTACAAATACACCAAGCTATACAGCTATCATACACATGCAGAGAGAGGGCCTAGATCACTCCCATGCAGGCTCCCTAGCAGTAAGTTCAGAGTCTGTGATCTCCTATGAGCCCAGGTCAGCTGTCTCTGTGGGTTCCCCTATCATGACTTTGATCCCTGGCTCCTCCTCCCTGTCTTCAACAGGATTCCCAGAGCTCTACCCAGTGCTTGGCCATGGATCTCTGCATCTGCTTCCATCAGTTTCTGGATGAATGCTCTCTGATGACAATTAGGGTAGTCACTAATCTGATTACAGGAGAAGAAGGCCAGTTTAGGCACCCTCTCCACTATTGCTAGGAGTCTTAGCTGGGGTCATCCTTGTGGATTCCTGTTAGTTTTCCTGGCACCAGGTTCCTCCCTAGTCCCAAAATGGTGCCCACATCAAGATATCTCCTTCTATCCACCCCCAACTTGCTCAACATGATCCCTCATTTTCCCACTCCCCCATTACCCTCAGCACCCCCAGTTTATGCAGGAGATCTCTTCTACTATACCCAGCAAAACTTTCAATCACCATAGATGGAGAAAACAAGATATTTCATAACAAAACAAGATTTAAACAATACCTATCAACAAATCCAGTCCTACAGAAAGTATTAGAAAGAAAACTCCAACCCAAGAAAGTTAGTTGCACCCATGAAAACACGAGCAATAGATAATCTCAAACCAGGAAACCCAAAGAAAAGAAATATACACACACTACTACTACTACTACTAATACTACTACTACTACTACTACTACTACTACTACTTCTACTACTACTACTACCACCACCAAAAACAAAAAAATAACAAGAATTAATAATCACTGGGCATTAATATTTCTTAATATCAATAGACTCAATTTGCCAATAAAAAGACACAGATGAACAGAACAGATACGAAAACAGGATCCATCCTTTTGCTGCATATAAGAAAAACACCTCAACATCAAAGACAGACATTACCTCAGAGTAAAGGGTTGGGAAAAGATTTTCAATCAAATGGACCTAAGAAGCAAGCCAGTGTAGCTATCCTAATATCTAACAAAATAGACTTCAAACTAAAATTAATCAAAAGAGATGGAGGAGGCTATTTCATATTCATCAAAGGAAAAATCCATCTAGATGAAGTGTAAATTCTCAACATCTATGCCCAAATACAAGGGCACCCAACATTTCTAAAAGAAACATTACTAAAACTTAATCACATATCAAACCCCACACATTAACAGTGGGAGACTTCAATACCCTACTCTCACAAATGGACAAATCTGCCAGACAGAAACTTAATACAGAAACAAAGAACTAACAGATATGACTCAAATGGACTTAATAGACATCTACAGAACATTTCACTCAAACACCAAAGAATATACCTTCTTCTTAGCACATCATGGAACCTTCTCTAAAATTGACCACATACTCAGTCACAAAGCAAATCTCAACAGATACAAAAGAATTAGAATAACCCCTGTATGTTATCAGATCATCATGGGTAAAAGTTAGAGTTCAACAACAACACAAACTACAGAATGCCTAAAAACTCATGGAAACTGAACAACTCTCAACTGAAGTACCACTAGGTCAAGGAAAAAAATAAAGAGAGAAATTAAAGATTTCTAGAATTCAATGAAGGGTCTATGGGAGGGCTTGGAGGCAGGAAAGAGTGGAAATGATGAAATTACAATCCCCAAAAATTATGTTAAAAAGTTGAAACAGGCTTTATGGCCATGTCCTCCAGAGACTAGAGACTTGTATTAGAGCACACCAAGTACTGCCCATGCCATTCTCTGGGGCTGTAGATCTTAAACCTGGAAAACACAGTCATATTAGGCAGGGTGACAACATTTTAGCCAGTTCTTCTATTTAGGTTGAACTAGTGTAACTATAGTAATTTGGTTTCACGATAAGTTCAGTTCTTTATCCAGATTCTTGATTGCCTGTCTGTGGATCCAAGCAATGGCCAGCCAGGATATTTATGGAACATCTAACATTGATTCCCTCACTACTCATTGCTAATGTCAACTACTGGCAAAGCACGAAAGTTTCCACCCTCCTTCGTGCCCATCGCTTTCTGTGCTGTGACTACACCTATTTTTTAATTGGTCAGTTACATAGGTCTCATTTCATTTGTAAATTCACAATAAAATCTAGAGAAGTTGAAGGATACTCATTCACTGGTCTGTTTTTCCTTCCCACAGACCAGTCAAGGCCCAGCCTGGAAGGAGTTGCAGAACTGTCTTTCCAGCACTGGGCAGCAGAGGCAGGATTAGGTGTTCAAAGCAATTCTCAATTACATAGTGTGAAGCAAGCCTGAGCTATAGGAAACATTGATCTAAACCAGTGGTTCTCATCCTTCCTAATGCTGTGACTCTTTAATACAGTTCCTCATGATGTGGTGACCCCCCACACACACACACACACCATGAAATTATTTTGACTGCTACTTCACAACTATAATTTTGCTGTTATGAATTGAAATAGAAATATCCGTGGTTTCCTATGATCTTAGACCTGTCCTGTGATAGGGTCATTTGATCCCCCAAAGGGAACTATGACCCCCAAGTTGAGAACCACTGCTCTAAACTGATATAAATCAATAAACAGCACTTAAGAAAAAATGGAATAAAATTCTTAAACTGAAAAACACTGGAAAATAGAAACAAAAAGAGACTAGGGCAGTGATGCATTTAAAGAAAATGAAATTTAAACAATGATACCAATAACTGACTTTTTAAAATAATAAAAAATAATTGGAAGAACACTTAGCTGTATAGACTTTGAAATGGAGTAGGCACTTCCTTGGTATGAGAATGCCATTAATAAGAGACTGTATGACTTTGTCCCATGTAAAACATTAGCCACTGAGTGCTGTAAGCTGACACATGGAACAATGGCCTATGTCTCAAACCTCTCAACTGACTTAACTGTGTCAACAGGATTGCACATACCTGCATAGGAGAGTTTGCTAATTGGAAACTGAATACTTAGTGGTCCAAGCTATCCTTCCTATACTGTATACCCACCAATTCTCTCTGTCTTCATTCACATGGAAGGAATTAATGCATGATGGAAAATTACACAGAAAGTCACTCACAGTGCCCCCATCAGGTCCTCCTTTGTAATGGAGACCCCTGCAACTCATTGCCTTAAACTTCAGTCTGTGATCTAGCTACTGTCTAATCTGTTTCTCCCTGCCGTGTACCCAGTACACTGTTCCTCCTCTTCTGGTCTGAAAGGAGAAGCCATGCTCTGCACACGAATCCTTTTCCTGTTACCTCAAAGTACAGCCCACTATGTGATACAAACTGGTACTTTTAGAACTCTGTGGTGCTACAAACCTGTAATCCAAGAATTGAGGATGGCTAGTCAGAAGAATAGCAAGGGCAATGACCTATGGGGCTCCAGACAGTGTTTAAGTCCACCTCAAACAACATCAGAGACCTTGACTCAAAACCACTTTGCAAAAAGGCTGGAGATGCAGCTGTTCTGGAATTAATATGCCTTCATGGCAGACTGCTGTTCGAATCTTAAATGGTCTTTTAATAAAAAACCCAGAGCCAGATATTAGCGTGAAAGTTGAAAGATCAGAGAAGCAAAACACTAGTTCTTACCTCTATGAAATTCTCAGCCTAAAGAGAGTGAGGTCCTGTTTTCTCACTCCTTATATGCCTTTCTCTGCCCTGCCATATTACTTCCTGGGATTAAAGGCGTGTGTGCTTCCCAAGCAAAGGCATGAGATCTCAAGTGCTGGGATTAAAGGTGTGTGCCACCACACCTGGCTCTGTTTCTCTCTGATACTGGATCAATCTCATATAGCCCATTGTAGCCTTGAACTCACAGAGATCTAGACAGATCTCTGCCTCCCGAGTGCTAGGATTGTATGCCACCACTGCCTGACCTCTATGTCTCATCTAGTGGCTGACTCTGTCCTCTGAACCTCAGGCAAGTTTATTAGGGTACACATATATCACCACAGCAGGCCAGGACTTAATATTGGTTGTGACCCTTTAATTGCCCCTTGAGCAGCATGTTAGAGGCCTTTGATGGGGAGGTGGGCCTTTTGGCTGCTTGTAAATCAAGGCTGTCTCATTTGTTATGGAAATGTAGCTTAATGGCTGATTAATCCTGGTGAACAAACATTTACATCTTATCATACCAATCTCTAACAGGCATGATTAGCATACTACTTATCTTTGAGGTATTTGGGATGCAGCCCTCTCTTACCTAAATTCTACATTGTGTGACTTAATGTCTCATAAGAATTGGTAAATCCTTATACCATCAATTCTACTCTTCTATATCAGTTTAGCAGTGGAGTGCTACTCCACACAGGAAATACTGTTTACAACCTCCACAGAATTAACTCCAGATGGATCCTAAACCTAAACGTTAAATGTTCAAAGTGCAGAACTTCTGGATTCTAGAGAGACCAGTACTCTCCAAGTTTGGCAAATTTGGTGATGTTTCTCCACCTGTGACAATATATGCACTACAGACACCAGCATTTCACAGTGATGTCAACAACAGGGATATTTCTAAGCACAGTTCTGCTCCCAATGCTCTGCGCAGACACAGTCCAGGGAGTGAAGTTGTTCAGAGGCTGCCAGCCTGGCCGAGGGAGTTGCAGGGATCACACAGGACCATGCTGGACTGGGCAGGACCAGTCTGCAACACGCCGAACTCTGTCTGGCCACTGGCTCCCACCCACACCCACCGGCTCAGCCGGTCGCTCCGCCTAGTCTGCGGACAGCGGCCCCTCACTCAGCAGGACCCGTCACTCCTCCCCGCATGAGGACAGCAGCCCCTCGCTCACCATGGTCGGCCACTCCTCCCTGTCTGTGGAAAGCAATGCCTCGCTCACCATGGTGCAGCTGCTGAGCTGATCCGGATCCTCCCCAGAACCCAATGCACAGCACAGGCAACAACTTCCGACTTCCTCAGAAGAGCTAAGACATTAGCCTGGATCCCGGAAGAACCCTCCCATCTGACTGGCGGGTCCGCTGGAGGCTCTGATTGGCTAATGAGGTCTGAGTGACAGACCAGGTGAGCAGAAGGGACACAGCATACTGGTTCCCAACCCTGGCTTCCAATCTAAGGACAAACCTATCCCACACTGGCCGGACATTTGTGCTAAATTCAACAGCAAGTCTCCTGTTAATGTAAATCAATGGGTTCAGTTTTAGAGGAAGCATACAAATTCAGAAGGAGGCTAATCAGCCCATGTTCCATAAGAGGAACACAGGGTAACTCAAGAATATTATAAACAAAATCCATAGTGGCATTGGGACTGATAACCACAGCCCCTTGTGTGGAAAGTGGTGAGTTTTCAGGATCTGAAGCAACACTTTCCCAAAGGCCCCAGCCCCAGACCATTACAAACTCTCCCAAGCATATTCCCAGTATTAGAGATGGAACTCATCAGGGCCTTTGAGAAACCTCCCAAAGCCTAGGCAGGTTGACAGACTCAGAGAGGCCTAGTTTCAAGTATCTTCTAGAAGTTCTGCACTTTGCATTTGATATTTAGATGTAAGATCCATTTGGAGTTAATTTGTGGAGGTTGTAAATGGCATTTCATGTACTGGATAGCACTCTACTTTAAGCTGTGATGTAGAGGAGTAGAATCAGTGCTATAAACGATTTATCAATGCTTAGGAGATAGTAATTCACACAAAGTAGAATTTAGCTAAGGGAGGGCTGCCTCTAAAACACCCAAAAAAATAAGTAGTATATTAATCAGGGCTGTTAGAGATTAAAATGTTACAATGTAAATGCTTATTCACCTTTTATGTTTACTGGTATTGACCACATTCTTGTAGTAAAAACAGCTAATGGGATGCTCATCCATGCAGAGGACAAAGAGACCATCTGTGTAAAAATCTCATTATACTAAGCTGAGGAATCATAGTTTTAAGAGGGATTTCTTAGTTGTGTTGTACTGGATACTGTAAACATCAATTTCATGATGTTTTGTTATGTACTTGCTATTTTTGGTATTGACTATACACATTAAAACCAAAGGCATGGTTAGAGTAGCGATGCTATGTATTTATTATATGAAGACTGTCTTGTGTTTTCTCTAAGGTTTAGTTTAACAGACTGTATCTAGGAAATATTAAATTATTACATTATCTTATACACAGTTTTTATTCAGCTTTTATTTAATTGTTGTTGCTTAGCACTATCTTAAGACAAACAGTTGGTACCTTCCTATGATCAGCTGTGCCTGCTTACAAAGGATGCCCACCACCGTGTTTGCTGACTGTTGATATTCCATAATATAAGAAGGTATCTGTTGTTTGAATCTTTGATGATCTTTTAATTAAAAAAAAAAACCCAGAGCCAGATATCAGGGTAAAAGCTGAAAGATCAGGGAAGCAGAGCAAGCCACAGCCATCCTCACCTCACCAACTCCACAAATCCTCTGACTGAAAGCCTCTGAGTCCTTACCTGAAAGGCTCTCATCTGGACTGCTTTAGTTCCTGTTTCCTCACACCTTGTATATCTTTCTCTGCTCAGCCATGTCACTTCCTGGGATTAAAGGTGTGTGTTCTTCCCATTACTAGGATTAAAGGTGTGTGCCACCACTGCCTGGCTCTGTTTTCAGTGTGACCCTGAACTCACAGAGATCCAAACGGGATCTCTGCCTACCCAGTGATAGGATTAAGGGTGTATGTCACCACTGTCTGGCCTCTGTTTCTAATCTAGTGGCTGGCTCTGTCCTCCAACCGCCAGGCAAGTTTATTAGGGTACACAATATATCACTACAGGTATGTCCTCCTTCTAAGTATACAGTCTCTTTCCCAGGCAACTGTATGTAATTCAGCCCTAATGGCATGTGCCCTTGTGATTTAGAGGAGGAATTAGAACACACAGCCTGAGAAAGACTTGGGATAGGGTGGATTCTGCAAATACACCTATAAAAAAGCCATCTTTTAATGTGGGAATTTACCTTGAGTACCATCAGGCTTACTTCCTATGTTCACTGAGAAATGTAATGTAATGGGGAGTATATAGGCAGTGGAAGAGCAGAGAGAAGGTGAGCTCCACATATGCAGCTATGGGAGAGCCATTGTAAATACTAGGGGGAGACATTCCCGTGTGGCTGCTTTTGGGTATCTTAGAGTTTCTATTGCTGTGAAGAGATACCATAACTACAGCAACACTTATAAAGGAAAACATTTCATTGGGGCTGGCTTTCAGTTTCAGAGAGTTTAGTCCATTATCATCATGGTGGGAAGCATGGCGGCCTGAACACATACATGGTGTTAGAGAAAGAGCTGAGAGTTCACCAGGCAGCAGAAAGCTACTGTGACACACTTCTTCCAACAAGGCCACACCTCCTTTAGTGACATTCTGTATGGGACTTGGGGTGGGGGGCATTTTGATTCAAATAACACATCAAAACCCTTGCAAGTATCTTTTCAACCATGCTCAGCAAGTAAACTCAATAGACTCATTGGTTCCCCAGGGTAGACTTTGGTGAAATTGTACTTTGCAATGTCAATGGGACTGATGGGGATGGAATAGACTTTCCTCCCTCTCCCTTCATCAGGGAGAAAATTCTCACAACAGATCATAAACATATTTGTTAATGTTCCTATGTCTCATGGTATTAGAAAAAGGAAGCAGTACATAAAAGAACATGTTTCTAATATATTCTTCTAAGAATATAAATGTGGAAATGACCTTAGTAATGAAGGACTTAGATATATGAAGATGATAATGACTGGATGGCTCCAGAATAAAGAAGACTGGAAAGGTTTTGCAAGTTATGAAAGTCTGAGTAAGTTGTTTGAGGTACATAAAGAACGAGACTTAGATATCATATATTTATTAAAGTTGGCCCAGGTGGGTGGCCCTCCCCAATGAGGGACTCAGGGAAAGTTTAATAATCAGTATACTAGTGGGAAATAGCTTGCAGGTTCTTTCTGGGATTCTCCTCTACTTCTGCTATAGGGAGTTGTAAGGAAGACCACAAGTCATGCCACGGAGAGTGTGGGGGTGTTCAGGGCAGATCTTCTGAGCTGTCATTTCTGCTGGGACTTAGAGGGACCATGAGCCGGATTGTGGTTCTGTTGGTCCATGCGGTGACCTGGGAAGTGGCCCTTGTCCTCTGAGCTTAACTGTATGGAATTTCCTGGGGAGGGGGAGGTTCTTCAGTCCTGGCATGGGAGGACATGATGCCTGCAATATTGTCCAGCGTGCATACACAGGTTTTGCTGTTTGTGTGAAGTAGGAACACAGTTTGGAAAACTGAAGGCTTGATTTCTAGAAGTTTGAATATTGCATTCCACCTTTAGGTTTATCTTATGAATGTAACAAATAGTTTAGAAACTGGTAGAAAGACAGTGATGTGGATCCTCCTTCCGCAATACATTTAATTAGAATGCTTTTAACTTTCTTCCACCACAAGCCTCAATGGAGCGATTCAGTGAATTTCAGTTCCAGGAGACAAAAGGAGTTTCTGATCTGTAGAGGGTTCTCAGGTGTCCAGGGTATTGGGCAGGCAGATAGGGCAGGTTCCACATCTTGTGCCAAAATCCATGTGGTAGGAAGCAGGGTTTAAATGATTCTTCTATGTTGTCTTGGGATTGGGCATCAATAGGGCTGGGTTTATCAGAAACCACAAGGAGGCATGAGGGGCTGCAGAGCCATAGCAGATCACCTCCATTTGCATAGAGACTTCTAGAGTATGGGGCTTCTCTTCAGCAGAAATATCAGTAGCTGAAGGGTCAGAAACACAACAATTTAAGGGTCCTTTTGAGTTAATTTTGTGGAAGTTGTAAATCTGTGTTTATTTAATTTCTATACACATAGAATCATAGGCCACTGGATAACATTGGTCAAGACCACACTTTCCTTGGCTAAGGTTCCTTTGGTCTTTTGATTAAAAGTTGACTATTTTTCTGCCTTGCTCTTGGCTTTTTCTCTCCATCCCCATTATTCTTTCACAAATATTGTACACATTCTTGATTATTATAGTTTTCTGGTAAGTATAGAAGTCATATTGTGTCAATCTGTGTACTATTTTTTCATGATCCCATTGAGCATTCTGAATGTTTCCATTGTAAAGATAACTTTGTAATCAGCTTTCCTGTTATAAATTGTTGGGCATTGCTATTGGATTATATTCAGTTTATGGTATAAATTTACCATACACAACATCTTAATACTGATGCATCATGTTCCCAAGGATCATTTATTTACATTTTATTTATTTAGGTTTTGTTGTTGTTTTTAATCTGTGCAAGACTTCTAGTTTATTGGATAAAAACTACTATGGGTCTTGGCAGGTGGCTCAGCTCATATTCTTCTTGGGGAAGACCTGAGTTCAGATACCAACATTGAAGTTGAGAGGCTCATAACCATCTACCACTCCAGATCCAGGATATCTGATACTCTCTTTTTTGTTTGTCACCTGTATACATATAGAAGACATTCTCTATCATGCACAAACATGCACACAAAACAGCAATAAACTTGTTTTCAAAAGTGATTGTGATTTATAAAGCAATTAGAGCAAAACAAGTTGCTTTAGGTATACAGAGTTTCCTTAAATATCTGTCATCTTGCATTTTGTTTTAAAAATTTTTATTTCCTCATGGTGTCCTGATGCAAACTTATAGGCAATCATGGTGTCTAAGTGATCCTAACAGACATCCTTTTCTTTATAAGAGAATAAGATCCCTTTTCTACAAAATTAAAACATCAGAAGGCTTCAAGCGAATCTCTTCAATTTTGGTGGAAGATTGTCTTCTCACAACCAATTTTTTATTATTGGCAATGGAGAGAACTAGGGTGCACAGGGTAAGTACTAGCTACTGATTTCTTGGAGTTTGATTTTTATTAGAATCTTGTAGTTCTTGTTTAAGGGACCATGATATATTTTTGTAGGTCTGTCTTTGTGTCTTGTTTTGCAAGTGGTGCCATCTATGTTGTTGATTTTATTATCCT